ACATAAACTTTTGGGATTGACTGTATAGCCAACCATCCTTAAGTCCGTATAATATTACTCGATTAAACGTTCATTAGAAGCATGTAAAAATAAGACTATCGAATGATATCGAATTACGGAGAGTGATGCGGGTTTCTTTTTTCCGGAGAATATCGATAGCTCGAAAAAGAGCGCTATTAATTAACGTAGGGAGCGAAACGAGTCAGGACTGACCAGCTTCCGCGGGGTAAATAATATTTTTTGCCGGTAAAGTGGAGCGATTCATGAAAAGCGGAATGGTATAAAGCAAACCGCGCAATCGTTTTCATCGATACTGCAAACAATGAGGAGTGGCGAGAGGAACAGGAAATAATGTGAAATTTATGAAGCGTGGAGTAAACGGGGTATCCGATTTTTCCTGGCGAAGTTATAAAATTGAACCGGCACGCACGGAAACGAGATACGTCGCCGGGGAGCATCTCGGGGAAAAAAATCTGCCGCTCCTGTCCTCCCGGCGAAAACGATTAAATCGCGACCGATACTCGCGGATCTATTCGTCCACGCATACGTTATACGCCGGAAATAAACAACTGGATCGATGAATATTCAATCGAGCATCCGCTGCCTTAATCGCAGCCATCAACCAATTTCCCGGTCGAAGATAAAAGCTCCTTCGATGGACTCACTGTTTTCGTTTCCCCGACTTGGCTGTTTTCATCCTCTACCTCGGCCACTCGTTAATCAAGTCAGTCGGTTTTAAGCAAATTGGAACTACTTCACCGACTGTTCTTTCGAGTGTAAAGCGAAAGTTCAAATTCCAATGGGACGCGAAATTGACAATGAGGTCAGTTCGTGATAAGAGATGATCGATACACGCTTCAAATTCTGTTTGAAAAGTTTTCAGTGAGATTGGCCCGCAGTCATCGAAATGAAGAGTAAAGAACAAATCCTCCGAAAGTCCAAGTCTCTTATCTAAGATTCTCGAGTTTCCCTTCGGTTCGTTCTCGCGAGGTCCATGGAGAATTTCCGGCCCATTTCCCCGCGCGGTTTTCGCTAATTTTGCAACTAATTAAGTCTCTTTGAAACTCGATAGGATTAGGGGGGGGACAGCGAGCGTCCTTTGAAAAGCGAATTTCAGTCGACCGGAGACGGAGAAACCGCAGCCAGCGGCGCGGCGTAACGCGCTGCGTGTCGTTTCGTCGGACAGGTTGACAAATTGAAAACGCGGCCGAACTTTCGTACACGGCCCACGCGATCGTCCACGTGGCACCAACTTTTATAACTCACCCGATAGAACCCTTGGTCACGGTATTAACGCTTGCGTCCCGGAACATGTAAAAAACGATATTACACGTGCAGGTTTCATGAATTTTAATGATCACTTGATCCCGAATTGCGATGCCAGCCGGTGTACACAGCGCAGGCATTTGAATAACGCTTATGTCGTTGATTATGCTACGAATTTCATCGAGTCCTACTGAACCGTGATATTACGGAAAACAGTAAGGGATTTCTCGTAAGAACTCCCGTGGTCATAAATTGCAGAAACGGTGCGGAAGAGTTCAGATATTTTCGCGTAATTTTTCACGAACCATCGACAGTCGGATTGGCAGAGAAATGTTAATAAAGCCGATCTCGCGTTAGTCGACCCGACAGCCGGGTTAACGTCATTAATCCCACGGTTTATCTATGTGCATTCCGCGACAAGATATTGAAGGCAGTCGCTGTGTTTATCGATAACGCTTGAAAAACGTCGCTGATATTTCCCATTCGCGCAACCGGTCGGCTCTGATAAAACAAATGACACTTGGCCCTTCTCTCTCTCTCTCTCTTTGAAAGGTCGCACCACTTTTTCCAAATACCCCTTCGCATGCAAATCCGGTAATTCCTCGAAATTCGTCGACTCGACGAAATGATTCGGTATCACGAGGGGTCGTAATCGGTTCTTACTCTGAGCTGAAAAATTATATTCCATTAAGCGAGAAGACGAGTCTTAACTACTCGCCATTGACGGCGAACAACGCGGTGTTTCGTCGTCAAACTTGATCTCAATTAAACCCTCGACCGAAAGTGCACTCGCAATAAGACCGACTCGAGATGATTTTAATCCCTCGGCATTGAACTCCGCATTAGAGAGGTTCGGAATTCAATTCCGAGCGTCTAATTAACCACGATTTTAGTAGAACGTAAAATCCGCTTAAACAGATAAATCCTGCTGGCTCGTTAAAAGTATCCAGAGATTTATACCTCTCGTAATGGCACAGATCGCGTTCAAAGATGAAATTAATATATGACATTCCGTTCACCGAGCAAACGTTTTTTAACCGTGCCGTCGAATTCCCGATAAAGCGAGGGCTACGAGATGAGAAACAGCTTCCTGTTTTCGCGCACGAGTTCCGCGAAGAAGCTACGTGTCCGGCATATTCCAGGGCCAAGACGTTTATATTTTATTATGCTTTACGCGACACGTTTCTTATCTTATTTCGTCCGCGTGTCGAGTACGAATATCGCGAATTTTTATGCGCCGCCCGATCGATCAGATCTCGCGACGAGATGGCACGAGAGGTGAATCGCGGATCCGCTTTTTGATCTCGCCGATCTCTTTTTTCCGCGCCCAATGAAAAATATAGCCTGTTGAAATCGTAAACATCAGGCGCAGGCATTCCACCCTGGGCCTCGGAAACACGAAACAGAAGGGCGCCTTGGCCATAAATCCGGTGGCTATACGCGTAAATTCGACTATCTGCGGGGGATACCTGCTAACGATCCCCATAACCGTTTAACTTGATCCTCCGCGCTCGGCGCAGACTAAATAATGTGTTTTATAAAGAAAAATTGCGCTAATATTGACACGCTCATTAATTCCGATCCGCTGCAAATGGTACACCTCGAACATGGTATAATGATCGTATCACGTTTCACTGGGATACACGCGGAACCAGACGAATTATAATGCTCCCGACGATTTTATTGAAATACGTGACATAAATTTTCGTTTGTGCAGGTCGAACGCACGACTCCACGTACACGCTGTACAGATTGGGCGAGAGGCTGTCGAGCGGAGTGAGACTGTACGTGGAAACCGGGAGAACGGATGGTCTGGACGCGGATGGAGACTCGCCCAACAGTCTTCATTCGTTCACGGGGCCGCCGGTTCCTCAGGGAGAAGGAACCAGCATCGCGAGAGCGTTCTTGGACGGCAATCACACCCTGATAAGCATCATGGCGCGCATCAACCCCAGCCCGGACTGGTTCGTCGGAGTCGACTCCTTCCAACTATGCGTCGAAGGCAATTGGGTCGATACCGTTACCGTCGAGGTAATTAAACACGTTCGTCAACGATAAAAATTTAGAGACGATTGAAAAAACTTTGACAGATCAATGGGGAAAGTAGTCTATTAATTGTCGGCGAATTTGTTACGCGGCAGCATATCGCATAAATCTTTCTTTACAAACCATTCAATGGACGCGTATCCTTTCAAAGAATTTCAATTCGTTCTTTAATAAAGCCTCGAAATTAGGGCGCCATATGGGAATTGAAATAGAACGCCCGAGAAAATTTCTCATTCATCGATGCTTCTAGATATCGAACAAAAGCTAGTTCTCGTTATAGAGAAAAAAAGAGAGAGAGAGAGAGAGAGAGAGGAACCTTTTTATCATTTCTATACGCGGTGCCGTATCAGCGTCCCTTCATTACGAGCTACCGGTAGCTAGTTCGGCAAAGGGTTACAGAGCAAAAAATATACTTTGAAGCTCAGCGATTGGGAGTATGTGGGTCGCGTTCTATTTAAACCTGGTCCGTGATGTCGTCTCATTAGAATCCATCGGAGGCCATTGAATAGGGTTTCTCTACCGTCTGTTCGTCTCTTTTCTCAGCTGGACCCGCTGGACGGTGGAACGGATAACGGGTTCACGTTCACGGCTGCCAACTGGCCGACTCAGCCGCAAGGAATCGCCTACAGGATCACGTCGCGGTATCCAGCGCATCCCGCTGGAAGCTTTTATTATCCGAATCTACCTCGACTGCCACCGATAGCGACCCTCACTTTTACCAAGGTAATTCATAGATTTCATATCTTAAATAGGACTCCGGTCGATTCTCTTGAATTAAAATGCTTTGATCACGGTCTAATAATGATAGACGAAGGACGAGCGTTTTCATATTTAATTTTTATATTCAAAAGTTAAGGTCTGAAATTCGCGCACCGGCACGTTGACCCCTTTTACGCTAAATTCCTACTTGCCCCCGTCATCGGTGACGTTCGCTCGGTAACAGGGTCGCCTCGTCAATATTTATTTCCCGAAGGCAACCCTCGCAGCTGTTACTTCCGTGAAATTCAAGTTTCCGCATCTCATCTGGAAGAAGCCTTCCTTTTCCCTACCTTATTTTAATGCAAGTCGTTTTAATACGATCTTCCTCGTCGTCAATTTTAATTCGTTCTATTTAATTAATAAAAATTTCTACGATCTTCGCCGTTACGTTCGCAGTCGATCACGTTTGCCCGTCGCGTGGAAAATCATTTTGCGCGTTAGAGCCCCGTCGAGTGTTACATCACCGGTGTTTTTCCGTGCGATTCGCCATTACCGGGTAACCGGTAACGACAACGCGTTTTCCCGTGTCGCGACGAGTTTCAGAAAAAGAAAGCTGGAAAAAATAGAACGAGGAACGGTTCCATTACGGGCGGAACATCTTAGGTACTCCATTAAGCTCGAAATTGGAGCGCGCGCGACGTAATGCTCGCTCGACGACGACGCGACTGCTTCCATTCACGGGTGCGACGATTTCTCGAATCGATAATGTTTATATCCTCGGACAGGATGGAAAACGCAACTCTCCGTTCGATTAATCGAACGATGAGAGCAGATCTTCTGATCGAAACGCGAGAAAGAGATCGAGAAACCTGAACGAGACCCGAGTCGATAATCATCATCCGCTCGTAATTCTTTACTAAGATTGCTCTCGTCAGATCTTTATGAAACAGTAAACATGCTTTTAATTCTCGAGATCTGAGAGACTTAATTATCATACTTGCTCGTACTTTGAAATTATGGAAACAGCAAAAAGAATCTGTGAAATGTTCCGTGGACGGAAAGTTCAAAGACGCGACGCGGAGTAAGAGTAGTTAATTCGAAAATTTCCCGTGACGACCCAGTTGCGTGCACAGAACTTCCCGAAAATTAATATCCTAAGAGCCGGGCCGCGTAAATAGCGGTTGAAAATCAGCCGTGACACCGTTCGCTGGATCAGGGATTCCGTCGGTCCCGGGAAGGAAGCGAGCTGGCTCCGTTATCATTTATGCCAATTAGGTACGTTCCGCGTAATGCGACGATATTAACCTAACAAAGTGGCCCCCGCGGTTGGCTCCGCGTTTGTTTTCTCTCGCGGCGTTTAATGCCTGCCGACCTCGGAATATTAAAGCGGGAGTTTCGCGAACATCGGAACCGTAGTTAAGGCACATTAGTATTAGGGGATCGTCGCTGTTTTCCCTTTTATTCCCTATTTATTATCCGGCGCGATCTCTTTTAATCGAGCTCGGTTCGCGTCGTTAAAAGAATTGTAAAATGTAGTCCGATACGATTCGGGAATGATCTGATACGCGAATGGAAAAATGCTGGAAACAAATAATATTATACACCGACGTTGATGCGGTACGACTTTTGTTTGGAACATTTTTACGTAAAATAAACATTCGCTGCTGGCAATTTCGTAAAATGAATGCTGTTCCATTTTGTTGAACGCATGGCATGTCATAATTACAGTTTCATGCGAGAGAAAATATCGGCTCAATTAGGATACGTTAGAAGGAGAAACAGTTATTGTGTCTAGTATTTTAATGAAAAATTCAAGGTACAGGTTTAATCTCTGGAGTATTTACGCGTTCGTTTGGCCCGAGGGGAGAGAGCAAGGGGTTTAGCTACGGGGTGTAAACACAAATTTGAAAATTTTCTCCCCCGTCCCGTAGTGCAAACGATACCTCCTCGTTCATTAGCGCTCCGTGTCGCGCGAAACCTAATCTACGGGAATATATACCCGGGCCAACTACATGGAAACGTGCAGACCGCGCAAAACCAATGGATCGTGCAGGTGGCTCGGTCCAAGCCCGGCTGTAACCGGCCGAGAGAGAGTGCGCGCACGGTATTTACCCGTGGGCAACTCGAACAACTCGCATAAATTTCGGCGATCAGTTTTTGGGTCGCAGCCCCGGCCAGGCGAATTTACCCCTTCCACGTGCCACTTCCCCGGAAAACATTCCCGTTCCGTTGTTACCGCTGATGCTTTTTTCAACCCTCTGACGAGGAACGGATACGCGGGAGACTCTACTATAAATTGTATCGTTCCCTCTACGTACTCAGCTTCGCGATATTTCATACGGAAAAATATGTATCTACGTCCTTTTTGTCTTTTCCAAACACGGCCCGTCTCATTTTCATTTTTATAAAAATTCAAGTCCTGTTCGACGCTTACCCGGGTCTCTTCCCCTCCTGAAAAATCGTTATTGAGTCTCCGTAAACCGACACCGTATCGCTCCATCTCCGCGCTTTAGAAAAGCCCGTGGCTGCGCTCTTTTCTCCCTGACAGAAAGCTTGCGGCGTGCACTCCGAGGTTTTAGCACTCGAATGCACTCGTAAAGTTGTACAATCTCTCTTTTGGATCGGGGAGAGATCCGACGGTAGGCGGATTTGCGCCCGTTGTGTTCGGATGGACACGGAAATTCTCTCCCGACGCAGTTGCGAGCGTCGCGGCGCGGTTATGCACACGCAGCCCACAACTCCTCGGATAATACTCGAAGCCGGGGAACGCGAAAACCCGGTTTTGCGGCCGAAACGTTTCGTTTGTTTTACACCCTGTTTCACCCGGGAGCTTGTAATAAACGCGCAACACGTGATACCCACACTTACGGTAAACCGTTTCCGATTCACGTAATAACGCCGTGACCATCGTTTACGGCCCGTATGAATTGTTTAAACGAGCAGCAATATTATAAACAATGCCGTTTAACTACCACTCTTGACTTCGCCAAAGCGAATTTATAATTTACTTACGCCTGTAAGTCGGATCCGCCTTAATCCCTGCTTACACGTTCGCTGCATGTCTCAGACTAATCCCACTGTTATTCGTCGCCGTAGATTTAATCGAACATCGCCTCATTTTCTTCTATTATCAACGTACCATTTTCTGCGATCGATCCAGACATTCGTTTCGTTTAAATCATATTATGAATTATATTTTAACAAATATTGCGTTCGTCCCGACCGCGAAAGAACACCGGCTGAATTTTCATCTGACTGCTCTCACGAGCAACCCTTTTCTGCTTGTCCGGCCGCGAATTTCCACCTGCCCCGAACACTCGGCGCGCTTCAGAAACTGAGCTCGAGGGGGTCGAAAGTGGGATGAGGTATATACGAGTTTCGGCGTGTGTTATTACTTCCGGAACACAGGGCCGTACACACGCCGACGGATTTCTCCAAGGCGGTCACCCCCCCACGACGGAGTTGCCTCGTCACTCCGCCTCGAGAATTCGAAATTAGACGATGACGCGTACGTGTAACCGAGAGAACTTACTTCTTCTCTCCGAAGTTTCTCACCGAGATGAACTGCCGTGCCATCGTTAAATTATACTTCTCGTGTTCCTCGGTTCATGGAAATGTCTGTTTCGAAATATAACGAAAATCTGAGGTCTGAGAACGACGGATCGAAAATTAGGAATGTAAATAATATTTGTAAGGAAGATTTTTCTCCGTGAAAATTCTCGTTCTTGCGAGGAAATCGTCGTGAAATTTGGTTTTTCGAGGACCGTAGAGATAAGAGGTTTTATACCTCTGAAATATAAATCCATCAGGGGACCGAGCGGACGTCATAAAAAAAATTTTACTACCGCCTCTCGGCCAATCCGGTTTTCGCAAAACGATGGCTGCATTAGCGCAATCAACCTTACAGTCTCCGTCGTTTGCATAATTCCTATCTCATCCTCCACCCTCTTCGCGATGGATTCCTACTTCGCAAATGAATTTCCCTTGCCGAAGAACGAGTTCCCGAAGAACTTTGTAAAAACTTGTGTGCATACGAGCGGAATGAACTTTTTCCTATTTTACCTGGCGTGCCGGTTACCACAGAGCAGATTTTGCAACTTTTATGATCCGATTTAACTTCGGACTCTTTAATCGAGTCATCCTGGTAACTATGTTTTGACAGTCGACGACGAGCGACTCGGTCCCGCTTAAAAACCATTTCCAAGTCTTTTCGGTGGCTAGTTAATCGATCGAAACACGCGGCGAACGCGATTATTCGGGAAATATTTTCTCGCCCCCTCTGACAGGGGTTTCGTGCCCGAAGGAAAAAAAAGGCGGGCTCGTGATTCGGTTACACACACACACACAACGCGACGCGACCGTGATCGGAAAGTTCAATTACGAACGCGAGTTGCCGTGGGACAGCTGCCAGAAAATTTAGTTTCCGAGTTAACTCGAATAACTCGCATAAATTCTCGACGCCTCTCTGTTTTCGGACACGGCTCGTCGGTCATCCGACATTACCGATCTCCGTACCCAGCCGGGTTTTGCTTTTTCTCAACCGGAAAACGCTGTGCGCGATTCAATGAACGGGCTTCCATCGAGTCGACGCATATGCGGTCACGAATTTTACCTCTGCCCGTTTCATTCATTTACATCCTGGCTTCCGCGTTTCAATTCGTATCATTACCGTCGCTGTAAATCATCCGAACCATCGTTCGACGCACGTATTCAAGCTTTCACGTGTCTTCGAAAATGTTACTTTTTAAAACTGTGGAGAACTGTGTTTCGATATGACAATCGTGGAAATAGTTTCGACTCAGTGACCACGCGGTGCACGCTGTATGGCGAGTCGAAATTCGAGTGTTCGATTGGAATCTGCGCGCAATCGAAACTTTGCCTTTGAAACGGTTTGTAGTTTGAGGGTGTGTATAAACAAGACCGCGGGTGCTTCGCAGCCGCCTGGTTTTTAAACGCGACCAGTCCTCGCGGCAAGAACGTGATAACTTTTCCCCTTTTAATCCCGAGCCGCGAATTAAATCGTT